GGGGTGAGGGGGGTGAGAGGGGGGTGAAGGGGGGTGGTGGTATGGGGGTTAGGGGGATGAGAGGGGGTCGGTGGTATGGGGGTTAGGGGGGTGAGAGGGGGGGGTGGTATGGGGTTTAGGGGTGAGAGGGCTGGTGTGGATATGGGGGTTAGGGGGGTGAGAGGGGGTGGTGGTACGGGGGTTAGGGGGGGTGAGGGTGGGGGTATGGGGGTTAGGGGATGAGAAGGGGGTGGTTGGTATGGGGGTTAGGGGTGAGAGGGGGTGGTGTATGGGGTTAGGAGAAGGAGAGGGGGTGGTGGTAGGGGGTTAGGGGGGTGGTGAGAGGGGGTGGTGGTGGGGGTAGGGAGGGTGAGAGGGGTGGTGGTATGGGGGTAGTGGGGATAGAGGGGGTGTGGTATGGGGGTTAGGGTTGAGAGGGGTGGTGGTATGGGGGTATAGGGGGTGAGATGGGTTGGTAGGTAGATGGGTATGGGGGTGAGAGGGGGTGGTGGTTGGGGGTGAGAGGGGGTGTGGATATGGGGGAGAGGGGGTGGTGGTATGGGGTTAGAGGGGTGAGAGGGGGTGGGTGGTATGGGGTGAGAGGGGTGGTGGTATGGGGGTGAGGAGGGGGTGGTGGTATGGGGGGTTAGGGGGGGTGAGAGGGGTGGTGGTATGGGGGTTAGGGGGGTAGGAGGGGGTGGTATGGGGGTTAGGGGGGCGAGAGGGGGTGGTGGTATGGGGTTAGGGGCCGAGAAGGGGTGGTGGTATGGGGGTTAGGGGGTGAGGGAGAGGGGGGTGGTGGTATGGGGTGAGAGGGGGGGTGGTGGGATAGAGCTGGTGGTATGGGGGTTAGAGGGGTGAGGGGGTGGGTTATGGGGGTTAGAGGGGTGGAGAGTGGGGGTTGGTGGTATGGGGTTAGGGTGAAGAGGCGAGGTGGTGGTATGGGGGTGAGAGGGTGGTGGTTATGGGGGTGAGAGGGGGTGGTTATGGTAGCGGGTGCTATGGTGGAGATAGGGGTGGTGGTATGGGGGTAGAGAGGGTTTGTATGGGGTGAGAGGGGGTTGGTGGTCTTTATGGGGGATGAGAGGGGTGGTGGGTTGGGGTGAGAGGGAGTGGTGGTATGGCGGGTTAGGGGGGTGACGAGGGGGTGGTGATATTGGGGGTTTAGGGGGTGAGAGGGGGTGGTGATATGGGGTTAGGGGGTGAGAGGGCGTGTGGTGGTAGGGGGTTAGGGGGGCGAGAGGGGTGGTGGTATGGGGGTTAGGGGGCGAGAGGGGGTTGGTGGTTATGGGGGTTAGGGGGGTGAGAGGGGATGGTGGTATGGGGGTTAGGGAGGGTGAGAGGGGGTGGTGGTATGGGTTAGAGGGGGGTTGAGAGGGTGTGGTGGAATGGGGGTTAGTGGGGGCGGAGGGGGTGGTGGATGGGGTTAGGGTGTAGAGGGGGTGGTGCGTATGGGGGTTAGTGGGGTGAGAGGGGGTGTGTATGGGGCGTTAGGGGGGTTGAGAGGGGGTGGTGGTATGGGGTTAGGGGGTGAGAGGGGGGGGTTAGGGGTGCGGGAACATGTAGTAGGAATGCAGGGGCTTATCTGAGGATATGATGTGTGTGAAAATTTCTTGTGCATTACGTTATCAAATTTTTTTAGTATAATTTCAATGTCTTTATCACTACTTGACAGAAGAACAAAACAAACGCATGGAATCAATAAAATTACAGGAATTGAGTGGTTTATATATGGCTTAATGAATGTAGGACTGTAGTTACTGTAGTTATGGGTGATGCCTGGCGGTGGGCCATGGACACGTATCCTGTATGAAAAGTGGGTAACGACCAAAAAAAAGTTGGGAACCACTGGTCTTAAAGAACGAAACGAAACTAATAAAGACTCTTCTACCTTTCTTAAAGATGGACGTAATCTATATCATGTTCTATCTTTTTTTTAAAGGAATCGAAGTAGGCCGGTGCAGAAGCTGTAAAGAATGAATTTATAAAATCCACAATCCGTGCCTCGAAAACAGCGTGGATTGTGGATATGAAATCGTTATTCAGATTACTCCTTGTTTACGTATTAATATAATTCCATCATACCCTTCGTCATTACTCTATTTGGCGTCTTATAGAGTCGGAAATGAATCAAAGCATAAAATGGGAAAACCAACTGTGAGAGACAATATCGATCCACACCTCAAGTAAACAGATACACACTCCGGTTGAGAGAGAAAAAAAAAGGGTAAAATTCCATGCGGTCGATCACTTCCAATATGAAAAATATCGAAATTAAGTTTATATATGCACACATTCCCCCAAAGAGACATGGCCCACTTTTGCTATACTTAACCAGTGTTCCCTTACAACCAACAAACCGAATCCTCACACCCTGAACAATATACATGAACACAAGACCGAAAATTGGGCAGAACAGGGATAGTTTACGCCGTGTATCAAAACAACATTTTCCAGCCCCAGGATTGAAGGAAGGTTCACGGCAAAGCTAACACGCCGCAAACTGCACTGACAGAAATACTCCCAAGTCACGGAATTCCTACTAAATCAAGGCGCGGTGGTTATAACCTGCGAATCACGGGGTATTAACTCCCTTGTTGTGGCAAAAGGCGCTGGAAATACTGAGAATGGTATCGTGTCTATGCTTACGGGCGCAATTACACACAAGGTCTATATAAGTACTTATGTAGACCTTGATTACACACACACGCACATACCCGCGGGAACACACACACGTCTATTCATCTATTAATAAACGATCTCTGAATATTTTTTTCCTTCGCCTTGAATGCAGATAAATAAATATGAATAACAAGGGCGTAAATTAAAGGAAATCTATAATCGCAATCATGATTCTACACACACTTGTCTATTCATCTATTAATAAACGATCTATGAGTATCTTTTTTCTTCGTTTAGAAAAACCATCTCTGAATATTTTTTTGTCTAGAATGCAAAAAATAAATATTAATAAAAAGGCGTAAATGAAAGGAAATCTATAATCGTAATCATGATTCTACACAAACTTGTCTATTCATCTATTAATAAACGATCTCTGAATATTTTTTTCCTTCGTTTAGAATGCAGATGAATAAATATGAATAACAAAGGCGTAAATGAAAGGAAATCTATAATCGTAATCATGATTCTACACACACTTGTCTATTCATCTATTAATAAACCATCTCTGAATATTTTTTGTCTAGAATGCAGAAAAATAAATATTAATAATAAAGGCGTAAATGAAAGGAAATCTATAATCGCAATCATGATTCTACACACACTTTTTTCATCTATTAATAAACAATCTCTGAATATCTTTTTCCTTCGTTTAGAATGCAGATAAACAAATATTATTAATAAGGCGTAAATGAAAGGAAATCTATAATCGTAATCATGATTCTACACACACTTGCCTATTCATCTATTAATAAACCATCTCTGAATATCTTTTTTTAAGAATGCAGAAAAATAAATATTAATAATAAAGGCGTAAATGAAAGGAAATCTATAATCGTAATCATGATTCTACACACACTTATCTATCTATCTATTAATAAACGATCTCTGAATACATTTTCTTCGTCTAGAATACATAAATAAATGTGAATAACAAAGGCGGAATGAAAGGAAATTCCATAATCGTAATCATGATTCTACACACACTTATCTATCTATCTATTAATAAACGATCTCTGAATACATTTTTCTTCGTCTAGAATGCAGATAAATAAATATGATAAAAAGGCGTAAATTAAAGGAAATCTATAATCGTAATCATGATCATAGGATTAACTTTATATTAACGGCGCTTTAATAAATCCGTAATCCTTTCTTGGAAACGATAAAATACCTTCAGTCCGGTTAATCGCCTGAACCAATCGCTAATCCTCATCTATCTATTTATCCCTCTTATTCCTCCACGTCACTTACGTATTCCTCTCTTCCTCCAAAATCGTTAATGATATGCAAATGAGCGGATAATTAGCTTACGTTATTACCAAACAACAGCGATAAATAGACAGCATTTGTCCGGTGGTCCTCGACGCGGGTGACGTCACGTGACCGGAGGCTGACAGAGGAGAGAGGGGGGAGCGGAGGGGGGGGAAGGAGAAGGTCAGTGGGGGCAAAGAAGGTCAAAGTGGGGGGTGGAGAGGAGGTCAAATTATGGAAGGTAGAAGGAGTAGTATCGAAGAGAGGAAGAAATCAGAATCGGAAGAGAAAGAATATTAAAAAGAATATTATAGCGATAAAAGAGATGGAAAAAGGGAGAAAGAGAAAAGGAAGAGGAGAACGCAGGAAGAAGACAAGGTGGAAACTAGAGAAGGGAAGAAGAGAGTAAGAAGATAAATAAGGATGTCGAGAGAAGATGAAGAAAGTAGATATGAAAGAAATTAAGAAGAAAGTAGATATAAAGAAGGAAAGGAATAAAGTAGAAAGGCAGAAACGACAATGGAAAGAAAACACGAAGACGTATAGATCTATAAACGAAAGCACAAGAGAAGAAAAATAGAGAAAAAGACAAGAAAGAAGAAATAATCGCCGAAAATGGAAAAAAAACGAAGACGACGAATATGAACAAGAAAGAGAAGACGAGATAAGCATAACGAATAACAGTAATAACAAAAACGTACCAATAACACGAACTAGAAGAAACCATGTAAAGGGAGTACAAAAAAAAGACAAGAAGAAAACAGAAACGTAAGAGAAAAATGCGAAAAGTCGATATAAAAATGAAACCAGAACAGTGAATTAGAAAAAATTAGAAAAGAAAGAAAACAAAATGATAAAGAGAAAACCGATCATTGTAGGCGATGAACAGCAAAAGAAAATAAAATGATAAGAGAAAATAACCGTTCGCGCGAAAAATGAACACAGAACAAAAATAACAAAAATAACACGAAGAACGGAACGATTCAAAATTATCATCCATGGCAATAACTTAAATTTAATTCCTCTCGTAATTAAATTCAATATCAAACCACTGACGTCACTGAGTCATCCTAAAAGACAAGAATTAACTATAATCTTAACACATAAACACTCCTTAGTACTAAACTTACCTTATCCTCAGTCTGACGTCGCTGATTGGCTGGCAGGGTGATGACGTCATCTCCCTGGAAGAGGATATTGAAGATTTTTAAAAGAAATGCAGAGTCAAGGATTAATTGCAATGAAGAAACAGGAACAGATTGCATTCTTGTTTGGCAGTGAATTGTAATATCATTAGGATGATTAATCGGTTAGAAAAGAGAAGAGATAACAATATTAAGTATAGTAAAGGTTATATTTACGTAAATATCCATCGTAAACAATACAATTAATTTGATATACTCAGGCGCGTTCTTGCATAAAGTAGAGGTAATATTTACGTTAAAATTCATAGTGAACAAAAAATATAATCAATTTAATACACTCAAGTATATGTTGTGTAGAGCAAAGATTACATTTATGTAAATATTCAAAGTAAACAATGAATATAATTAACTGATATCCTCAAGTATAAGTTTGAGTGTACAACAAAGATATTTACGTTAATATTTATAGTAAACAATTAATAAAATAATTTGATATCTTTCAAGTATAAGTTTAAATGCACAACAAAAGTCATATTTACGTTAATATTTATAGTAAACAATTAATATAATCAATTTGATATCCTCAAGTATAAGTTTGAGTGTAGAACAAAGGTCCCATTTACGTCAATATTTATAGTAAACAATTGATATAATTAATTTGATATCCTCAAGTATAAGTCTGTGTACAAAAAGGGTCACATTTACGTAAATATTCATAGTAAACAATTAATATATTTAATTTGATAACTCAAATATAAGTTTGTGTACGTAAACATTCACAGCGAACGAATGATACAACCAACCTCATATACTCACGTGTTTGTTTGCGTTCCCGCGTTCCCCCGTGTCTTCGTGCGAGTCCGAGATCTTCTGCAGGTAATCCAGCGTCACTTTGTAGCAGCGCAAGTTCTCCTCCTTCATGGTAGCCAGGAAGGAGCCCACGCCAGCCTCTCCTTCGCACTCCTTCGAGGACCTCCTGCAGGGGTCTCTGACGTGCGCGGGCGAGGCAGCGTCCCGTGGCCTGCCGTCGGGGACAAAACCCTTCGCCTCAGCCTCGGGGGTCGCGCCGTCGCTCTCGTAGAAGTCCGGGAAGGAGGGCTCGACGTCAGGTCCCTCCCGGGGCGTCGGGCTCCTGCTGTGGGGGTCTCCGGCGGCCGAGTCCCAGCCGGGCTTGTTGACGTGGAACACACACAGGTTCTTCAGGTCTTCGGATATGTCGATGATGTCCCTGAAGGCGTCCAGCTCGCTCTTGGATTCCCTTTTCTGCTCGACGCTGACGCTGGAAGACTCGGCTTTTATTTGGAAAATGTTTTCTTCCTTATTTGGGAATTTGAGATCCGGAAGAGTCCTTGCCTCGTGCGTGAGGTCGAGGGACTTCCTTTTCTTTAGATACGATTCGTACATGGAATCCATTCCGTTTAGAATCTCATTCAATTGCTTTTGGACTTGTTTTCCACTAGCATACAGTGAATCGTCGTGACTGCGCCTTTGAATTTTTGCTTGTCCTTTCACCATTTGGTTAACAATATTTGAATACGTGGTGTGAGAAACTTCATCTTCAACAGAACTGAATATTTCATCCAATTTAGAATCAATGTACTGAAACTTTAAAGTTTCCTTAGTATCCCCTCTCGATTTTGTCTTCTCATTTTCTTTGGTAGGAGCGAGTCCTCCGTTTTCTTTGAAGGCGTATCCCGTCCCGTCGACGGGTGGATGATCAAATACCGGCTTGTTTTGGTTTAAATCTCCCTTGATTATATTATCCAAATTGCGAATACTGGTTCCCGTGTTATCGCTGTCCTCTTTCTGCTTTGGCATTCGTACAGTATAAAGCTTATCGGCTATGATGTCAGTTTCCGTTTCCGATAAGGTTGACGTCGAAAACGTTTCATTATCTTCGCTACACTCGTAACTATTATCCTCCATTCCAACTGGAGAGGGTCTGTCAATCGTGCACATTTGCTCCGAATATTTCTCTCGCTCTAGACTTAGCCGCCGGCATAGTTTTTCGAGATTCTCTAAGCATGAGATGGTCGGGGGCGGCGACTCACAGCGGCGCCGGTTCTGCTTCGCGTCCGTGGCTCTGGGGGTCTCGACGCTGTCTGCCGTTCCCGCATCGTCGGAGGGGTCGGATGACGGCCGCTTCTCGCCGCTTTTAATGGCGCTGTCGAAGCTATCCTCGAGTTCCTCAAAGGCCGCGAGCCACGTCCGGCGATTTCTGGGGCTCGTGAAGCAGATGTCGTCGCCTTGGGTCGTCTCCTCGGGCTTGTAGATAATCCTCGATTGCTTCTTATCCTTCCTCTTCGCCTCCTTGTCCTCCCATTCTAAGGCCTCCACCACTTCCGTCGATGTCTCTACTGCTGAATAATACTCGGTCTCGGCCAGGTTGTGTGTTTCCAAGAGAGACTTGTAGATATCTGGACTGTCAGTGAGCCTCGAAGACGCATGGGAGACGTCCAGAGCTGCACTCCTGAAGGCGGACGTGTGTTCTCCCTCACTTACCTGGCTCTCATGTGAGGTGGCCAGACCCCGGGAAGCCCCCTCGAGGTTTCCAGGCGCAGGAGGTTCGTGTTTGATCTTTGGGAGCTGGTGAGCCACTGAGGCTGTGGGATTTACGCGGATTTCAGCTGTGGCGACGCGGGTTTGTTTCGCGTCTTCTGCTGCTTGTATCTTAGAGGGATGACTGGTATGTGTGGTATTTAAAGTCCCGTGTGCAGTTGTCGAGAGAGGACTTGACATAGCAAGCTCCTCGATTTTCCTTTCAGAAGGTCTTGGTGGCTTATCTGACCTGAGGGGAAGAGTTGTATGTACAGAAGACGGCTCTTTAGCGACTGAGTCCGAGCACTTCTGGGGGTCTATTTTCTCTCCTTCGTTGGCTGACTCTTTTGACCCTCTCTCACGACTCTTTGTGGCGGAAGTGTAGGTCGTGGCACTCTCTAGCAGCATCGTCGTCTCCTTCAGGTACGCTTCAATCTCCGAGGTCAGTGCCCGCAGTTTCTCCCTGTCCGTCTCCTCGGGGGCCTTGATGAGACTGGGCCGCGGCAGGATGATCTGGGGGCAGTCCTCGAGGATAGGTTCGTCCATCAAGTTCTGTATGAGAGACTGATGACTATCCTCCCGATGACTATCCTCCTTCTCTTCCTCGTGCTCGGGTAACCTTGTGTACGCGATCGTCTCAATGTCTTCCATGCTCGTATTTCGAGGCGTCAGAGAGTCGTCGGAAGTCTGGTGGCTGACGTCCTCCTCGGCAGCTGAGTTCTGCACGTCGTCCTTGGCTTTCCGCGCGCACGCCTCCTCCAGGCTGTCGGGGCTGAAGTCGCTGCTGCTCGAGAAGGTTATCAGGTCCTCATCGCCATTCACGCCGTCCTCCTCTTTATCATTCGCGTCGATGTGATTCTCTTCCTCTTCCCCTTCTTCGCCCAGGATCTCTAAGATGACTTCGAGCGGCTCTTGGTATCGAGGGAAGAAGTGGTCCCTTGATCTCCGGGACCGCTTCTGCCGCTGCTGTTCCTCTTCCTCGATCTCTTCCTCCCACTCGTCCTCGTCGCTGTCTACGAAATACTCCCCTTCTTCGTCGTCTAAGACGTATTCCCCCTCTTCATCATCTTCGTAGCGACCTCCTCCGCCTTCGTAATATCCCCTTCATCTCCTTCTCGAAAATCCTCATAGTTTTCGTCGCCCTCGTCATCCTCGTCGTCATCGTCGACATAGAACACGTACTCCTCCACACATCCCTCGCCCATCCCTTCCCCGGATAAGTAGAAATTGATCACCTCGTCCTCCTCCTCTTCCACTTCTTCCTCCTCCTCCTCGTACTCCACCTTCTCCTCTTGCTCTCCTCCATCTCTCTTCGCGCGCTTGTTCACGGGACCGGCATCGTCCACCGAAGAGGACGTGGGGTCGCTCGAGTCGTCCTCGTCACTGAGGTACACGCAGCAGGAAGGTCCGGAGTCGCACTTGTTGCAATAACTCAGGCCGGACGGAACGCAGCACTCGGCCTCGGTGGAGAAGTAGTCGTGGACGATCTCGACTCGCCTCTGGATGGTCCCCACTTCCGCCTTTTCCTCCGAGAGACTCTGCTTGAGGAACTTGGTCCTCTGTTCCGCGAGTTTTGAGTGAATGTCTCCTCGCTTGACGGTTTCCATGATCGCTTCTATGCCACGGAGAGTCTTTTTCTTAACATCATTTGAGTGTTTTTTTTTTCTCACTGTGATTTTATTTCAACCAAGATATTGTTCATGCACTGAACCTTGTCTGAAAGGAATAAGATATATGAAATAAGAGAAAATTCAATAAATATAAGAAACGCAAATCCAATTTACGTCACCGAATAAATGTAGTTGAGGTTTAGATTATCAGATTGAAGCATATAAAAATAGAAGACATACTGAATACAAAACAGAAATAAGCAAAATAAAAATAATTGACATATTGAATACAAAACACGAGAAAAATTCATCATATCACTGAATCATTCGGAAAAAAAATCTATGAAAAAAATACATAAAACACAGCCCAGAATCCCATTTCAGGAACAGACACCACAAAACACCTACGATCCTCCCCCTAACCCTCTCTTCAAACAATTACAGCCTCGGAATCCTTTATAAGGGGGATCGAGTCTCTCACCAGCGCGCGAAATCGTTTATGGCGAGCGAGAAATGCCGTTTATAACCGGCGTAATGGGAATTCCAGCCGCATCTTTGTCCCAGATAACAACCCTGTAAACACAAGACCACAAGAGGGATGTCCGAACGAAAAAGAAACACGCCAAATGAAAGTGAAAATAAAAGGAAAACAAAAAAATAATCGACCCTTGGATGTATAAGGAAGAAACCGTAGCATTTGATTTCAAGGGGAAGGATTCGATCCTATTACAGATGAATTGATTAGGACAAGGTGTTTATTTTTCTTTTAGGGCGATTTCACCCGGCAGCGTCTTG